TTAAGCCATAAGGCTAGGCATGATTTTCATTAAAAATCAATTTAAAGAAACATAATATCAAAGTATGATAACTCAGCCATTTTTTGAACTATGAGAGAAAGATAAGAGACAAAATGAAGCTGACTCCCTGCCTCGATGCCCTCCTTCAGGCTGTTTAAGCCTCCAGCTCTCATGCTCTGTGGTGCTCAGATTTTTGTCCCACCTTCCAGGGCACTTAGCACCCAGAAAAACCCAGCATCTCCTACAGCCATTCAGAGGGTATTGCCTGCAGGACCCCAGTTAACAATGACTTCAGCTTCTAACATTCCTATGCTGGGCAACATCACTCTTCTAAAAGCCAGAAAAAGCTACCAGCAGCTGGGGCTGCTGCTCAGAGCCAGGCTGCACAGACCTGTGTCTCTCCCCCAGAGAGTCCCTTCTGCCTCCACCTCTTCCTCTCTCGACCCAACCTGATGCTCCAGCAAAGGCCAGCTAAGTAGCTGCCTGCAAGAGGAGAGGGCCCCTGGCCCTTGTCCTGTTCTGAAGCTGTCAAATAGGTTCTTTCTTCTGGAGCACTGTGTCCAGTTTTGCTTCCCCAGTACCAGAGGGACATGAAGCTCCTGGAGAGAGTCCAGTGGAGGGCTGCGAAGATGATTAGGGGACTGCAGCACCTCTTATGAGGAAAGGCTCAGCCAGCTGGGCCTGTTTAGACAGAACCACAAACCGAATACAAGGAAAAAACTTACTGTGAGGCTGACAGAACACTGGAACAAGCTGCCCAGAGAGGCTGTGGAGTCATCTTCTCTAGAGCTATTCAAAACACACCTGAATGTGGTCCCGTGTAATGTGCTGCAGGTGACCCTGCTTAGGGAGGCGGGGTTGGACCAGATGGTCTCCAGAGGTCCCTTCCAACCTCAATCACTTTGTGTTTTGTGATCCTTTCTTTCCTGTCATCTTGTAGGTCTGAATAACTTCAGTGGTGTCTGAACAGAGCAATGGCTCAGCCTAGCAGTCAGACACCTATTGTAACCACCTGTGGTAACCTTCTACAGCTCTTCTTCAAATCATAATGCTCTGCAGAGAGATGGAAAAACATTGACCTTCATCATTGCCTTCTACTAGTCTGTCCAGCAGCACAAACAGAAGAGTGTGAGGATGAAAATATTGCTTGGGAACTCTCTCTCCTATTATGCTCAGCCAGAAAGGGCTGTGCCCTGTGCTCCAAGGGAAGCCAGTCCGTCCTCCACCCGTCTCCTCCCATTCCTCAATGTAATTGAGGAAAAATTCCTCCCATCCAGCTGATATAGCCCTCCCGTGCAAAACTCCCTGCGGTTCCCAATTTCCTAGTGAGCAGCAAGAGCTCAGTGTCCCGGGAAGCCACAAAACACCCTCCAGCTGGGGTCTGCTGCCCTCCATGCCTGGGGCCGGCCTGGTGGGAGCAGTGGCCACGTGTGGCCAGCCAGCCCTGTTCGGGGGCACAGCAGCTGGGGCTGCTGCTAGTTCTGGGTCCTCCCTGGGCTCAACACTCAGCTCCCCTCTCCTCACACTTCTGCTAGCTCAGAATTACCCAATGAGTTGTTTTAAAACCCAAATCCTCAGCTTTTCCTCATGATGTTGGGGCAGGCTGGGAGGCATGGGCACAGTGCACGCTGCCAGGCCATACCCATGCTCAATGTCCCAAGCTGTGCCCCCAAACACTGGCCCAGTCAGCCAGAACACGGCATGAGGCTAGCACCTGGCTGGGCTGAAGCCCTGGGACTCTTCCCACCCGTCCCGTCCCCACAGAGCCCTGGGGACCGTCCCCACGCACCCTGCCTGCGCCTCATCCCCAGAGGCTGCCTGACCCCGGGCTCCTTCCCAGCCTCTCTGCACTCTGGGCCCTCACAGGAACAGCAGCGGGATATTTTTAGCCTGTTTACAACGACAGAGCAGTACATTTTGGTGCAGCTCGCAGCCAGCAATGCTAGCATGAGTGGCCACAGCCAGGGGAGAAGCTGCCAGTGCCCAGGCAGCAGTGTCACAGCGGTGTGCCTGGGGAGGTGCTGGCGCTGGGGGAGGAAGGGGAATCAGGAGGGCACCAGAGCTGGGAGAGGACACCAGGTAGGTTCCTCCTGGCCTGCGCTGGCACCAACATACTGAAGCTCACACAGGAAGACGAGTCAATGCTATCTGCTTTTCTCATTATACTTAGGGTTTGGTGACTAAGAAGTTCCAGACGGCAGGTTCTGGTGTGGACAACGTTATAGTTTCTTCCCCAAATGCCACTTCAGCCCCATGACACCTGCTCTGTTGCATGGCAGAGCAGTAGCTGGTGTTCAGCACTCTTCCCTGCTGCCTGCATCCTCCCAGCGTGATCCTGTCTTTCTCCCTAAAGCTAATGAAGGTGCCTTCAGGCTTTCCAGCCATGTACACACCAGACCTGCTCCACTCTGCAGCCAGGCCCCCTCAGGCCATTGCTTGCTCTTCTTCATGGAGCCCTTGGCAAGAGGAGAAGCAGCTGTACTGGAGTCCTTACATGTGGTGCAGAACAATAAGTACTATCTGTGGCTTTGCCCCTTATATTTAGCAAAAATACGTCCACGCTGTCTTCTCACAGCCCAGCACAACTTGGGTGCAACTCAGTTCTGGAAGGTCACCCAGGTCAGGAGTCAACACAAGATGGATGGTTCATCCCAAAGCAGGCCCAGCACAGCGCTGAGTGTTCAGATGCAAGCCCAGCAGGGGGCGATCTGTACAGGCAGGGAAAAGGCGTCTCAGAAGGGGCTGAGGCAACAAAAATCCAGCTCAAACCATGAGCTGTACCCCTCCAGTTCAGAACAAGACTCATGTTAGTTCCACAAGCCATGGTTCAGGCCCAACCCCCCTGGGTGAAACCAAGACCATCTGCTGGTGGCAGATGACCAGTTCCTGCTGGCCGTCTACCAACAGAGACAACTCGAGGGCAACATCACAAGTAGGACTTACGGCAGCAGCCAGGCTCCGAGGGGTGGAGGAGCTCAGAGGGGCTGCGGCTCAGAAAGGACAGGGACAGCTTCGGCAACCAGGATGCCCTCACTGCAAATGCCCCGTGTTGTGGCACACGAGAAGGGAAACACGAGAAGGCTGGGGATCAGTCATCAGCTGTCACAGACCAAGGAGATGGCTGTGAGTGATCACCAGCTGCCCAGCTGCACTGGCATGTCCCCACAGGCTGGGGGCCTCACCCTTTCACACCATGCTGAGGAGACCCCAGCAAGCTGCTGCCCCCGGCAAGGGCTGGGGATGCCCAGGGCTCTGCTTGCCCCATCACTTGTGCCTGTCGAGGTCAAGTTCTCAGTTCCTGCCAAAGAAAACATTATGCTTTTTTAGGGTCACCTGTTTCCTTATGATTTTACAAGGCAGTGTATCAGAATGCTTCCCGCAAAGCAATCCCTGGCACCCATCCCACCTGCCCATTCCTGCTAGGATGTGCCCTCTTGCCGGCAGCTGATGGAGCGTGGCCGAGCCGCCGCCCGCAGCGCTGCTCCTGCTGTGCACACAGCTAACACCTGCCCTGCGAGGCACAGAGCCAGCCCTAGAGGGCATCAAAGGGTGCAAAGTCCTTGCACTTTGGAATCACAAAGGTTAGGTCTTGCTCTAGCTCTTTGTGTTGCTATCAGAGCAGCTGCAGGTTTTGTGCAAGCAGACAGAACAGTGGCTAAGTGCAGACCTACAGCTGAAGGATGACCTTTCTCAAAAAGGCTTGCCCCAAGCTTTGATTTAGCCTCTTGGTTGTAACAAATCCACTAATACTCCTTAGGGAATGTCAGCAGAACGAGCCTGGTCACAGCTTTGCTCTGCCTTCACGCCCATCCTTGGGCCCTCCTGCATCCTGCAGTTGTCCTTTGTTAACCTGGTATTGCTCTATCAGCTACAAACTGCCACTAAAAGCTTCAGAGTTCAACTTAAAGATAACCTAAGCATTGCCTTCCAACGCTGGGCTGCCTGCAGTAATGGCTTGCAGGACACAACAGTGCTCCTCACACCAAGAGGTGCTCTAGAAAGGTTTTGCTCCACTGTACCTGGGTTTCTCCAGAACTTCTGCACTGACTTCACTCTGAAACTCTGCCACACCTGAAAGCAAAGCTCTGCAAGAAGCTTCATGCATACACCTACCACATGTTCTTCATTGCCCCCAAGAGCATATGTATTTTTGTCACAATTACTGAGTTTAAAGTCCCCAGAGCAACACGGGCTTCCAGCAACACAGCTGTTCCCTACAGGGGTTTTGTTTAGCATGCACTGACTTCATCCTGCCCCACAACTCTCACACTTCCCTCCCCAAGCGACGGGCTAGCAGAGTGTTTGCACACTGACGACTAATTTCTCAGAATGTGAGTTACTGCTCTGTTCTCCTGAGCTTTTTATGTGTCATTATCCTAAAGCTGCTATCTCAGAGAATATTCCTTCCTTTACTCAGGCTTACTTCTAAGCTTCTCTTTGCAACTGCTCGTGGTCATACGGCTTCAATAGTTACTCGTGCACCTTGAGAAGAGGCTGCAGGGCACTGCAAAGCTTCTCCTGTCGCACACGTGCCCGACATACGGACACACCAAGTGTCACGGATAGGTCTGGGACTGCTCCAAATGAGTGTCACTGCACAGATCACTGCCAAGCAGTTATACTCACAATATAACAGTTCAAATTTGCTGTAGGGTACAGACACCTTCGTATTTTAAAAGTCTACGAAACTTCAGCCAAAGCACAAACTTAAACACTGAGAGCTAGAAATCAAATTCTAGGTAGATGTGAACATTTGCAGCTCTACGTACAAACCATCAGTCCAAAACTCCTCCTTGTTCCCACTGAAAAAAATGTCAGGCAAACACCCTAATGCAACACACCAGCACAGCGCTCAAGCATTTAAGAGGAGCACCCTTGCCAAAAAAGTAGACCTATTTCCATTCCTATGGAAGTGGAAATTCCTGTGGTTCTATAAAGACCGCAGCCCAGATGCTTCATTCCCACCAGCACAGGATTCAAACCCCTTCGGACTGACTGACCTGCGAGGCGTTTTTCTCTGGTGCTCCTCCAGAAGACGTCCCACGCTCTGCTGGCCGAGTCCCTGCCGTGGTCGCTGAGGGCTCGCCGCAGGCGCTGCCTCCCCGGCTCTGCCATGCCTGGGGGGCTCCAACCTGCACAGATCAGCAGACTCCAGAAGAAATTGCAGCAGGTTAGGACCAAAGCCCGGCTGTTCTCCTGGCTTTTGCCTCTTCAGCTGGCCTAGAAAGGTTTCCATGCAGGAGAAGCCAGCAGTTAACGTGATGAGCGTCCTTCCTGTGGGGAGGGGGACAAGCACCCCCTGCCACCCCGGGCTGGCTGCACTGGGGGGCCGTGGCACCCACCCCGGAGCACTGCATGGCTCTGCAGCTCCACCCCTGTGCCTTATAAACAGCCAGCTCCCTGCCATGCAGGGCAGTAAACACAGAGTGAGGCTACGCAGCATCTCCTGGAGCGGGGACAGGATTTCAGACAAGGCTGTAACTCTGCATTCCCTGCTGAGTGGGTAACAGCTTCCTCACCGCCGTGTCCTCTGAGCTCTGCGTGCTCAGGCGCGTGCCTGCCATCTCCTTTACCAGCAGGCAGTTGCTTATTTTATTTGGTATGTCTTTTTTTTTTTTTTAATATATAATTATTTTCACAGAACAGCCTGGTCTAGAGGTGGATTTGGATGCTTCTCCTGTGGCATGGGATTAACCTGCAGGAAGTTTTTATGTAGAGCCTGTTCAAAGAAAGAAATCTCCAGGCTGTCCGGCATTACCCAGTCACTGATGCACTTGCTGCCTCTATAAAGGGGGGATTGGTTAATGCTGGGGCCTCACTGCCTTATTTATTTACACAAGCACAGGCTGGCTGTGAAGCAGCAAGGCATGGGAAGCCCATCTTCCCAGAAAACACAGCTCCCTGCCAGCCTCCCCCGCAGGGCGCCCTGCTCTCTGCCTTCAGGACAAACTCCAGACCAGGGCTGACCCCGCCGGGCACCAACACGGGGCTGGGAAGCAGTGGGGGTAAAGGGAAGGCACATGAAAACCTCAGTCACTTCTCTGTCAGGTATGGGCCTGGGAACAGTGCTCACAGAAATGTTTTTGGACAAGCAGGGGCCAATTTAAGTTTGCTCCCCCTCTGGGGAGGGAGACTGAAGCAGCTTTGTAACAGACACAAACACCCAGCACATAGCTCTGTATCAGTGCAGCTCCTTGGCAAAATCCAACCCAAACAAGAATATAAATTAATGGGGAAAGAACACAACTTGACTACAAATGATTGCTAGTGCTACATGTGTGCTTTACACCTCCCCATTCCTCTTTCTGACAGCAGCTTTGGGCCTGGTGTCTCAGAGGAATAAGCTGCGATGGTATTTGTTGGTGAGACAACTGATTGAGGTAACTTAATTAACGTCCCTCAGCAGATGGCAACCTGAGGACTGGAGACACAGCTGACAAGGGGCACGGCCACCACGTGGAAGCCGTGAAGTCAGGGCTGTTCCTGCTGCCTTGCAGCCCTGCGCTTTCTGCTTCCATCTCCTGCACAAAGCCGCAGCCACGCCGTGACGGCCTCTTCCCCGGAGCACTGCTTCCCTAGAAAATGAACCACGTGAGAGCACAGAGCAGCCACATGTCCTGGCTGGGAGGCACAAGCACCTGCCTGGCAAATCACCCCAGGTGTTTTCGTGCCTTGATTCTTACAAACCAAACCCTTGGGTTAACGTTTCCACACAAACCAAACTCTTGTTGCCAGCGTGCTCCCCAATACTACTTAGCAGGAAGAAATGTTAGTTCCTTTGTGTCCTGTCCAGAATTAAATTGGGCCTACCAAGGGTGATGCTGTACTTTTCTTTCCCTAAAGAAATTTGGATGGGTCTCAGAGAACAGGAGACCACAGAGGCTAAGGGAGAGGAAATTTGGGGTTGGGGCATGGAGAAGGGAAGAGGAAACAGCTGGAAGCCACCTACAAGAAGGTGTCTCCACAGAAGTGATCAAGTCTTTGGTAGTCACTTGCAATTTCATGGTGATGTAAAGAAGAAAATCTGTTCAATAAAATGAAAAAATGAAGAATGAACAGTGAGGCTATTCATATAAAGGAACTGAAGTGCTTCCTGTTGTCTCAGACGTGACCCTAGGCTAAAACAGGATGTATGCTAAAAATAAAGCTACAGCCAGGAAAAAGCAAAGCTGTTCCACGTTCTTAGAAGCTGCTCACATTCACATCTCTGTCTTGGGACTGCTGCAAGGGCTGAAACATTTCTGGAAGCACCAGACCATCTCGAGATGAAGCAAACATCCTTTGTCAGCAGATGCAGTTAGGAAATTTTGGCCTTTTTACATTTCCCAGAACGTTAAAATATCAGATTTGAACAACACCAGCAAGCCAAGAACCAGTCATTACAGCCACTGCGAAAATAATCTGAACACGGCCGTGGTACTGAAGGCCAACACACAGCTATTCTCACGTACCATTTAGCATTTCCCTCGTGGAGACCTTGAGCATTTGTGCATCTGGATTTCATCTGCATCCAAGCGAGACTGCGGGTGGGTGATTTCTTAAGCCTGAGCTGGCTGCAGCTGGTAATGATGTATTTTGATACTGCTGGTCTGCATTATCTCACAAATATTTTCAGGGGTGTGTGAGCATGTGCATACTGTTAGAAAAGATAATTAATGACGTAACAGTGAAGTTTAAACTCGAGTGATTTTTTTTTTCCCCAAAGAGACAGCTTTATTAGCCAGCACCGAAGAGTATTTATTCACTGTTGAGTAAAAACACACAGGTTGAAGATAAGCAGCTTATCGTTCAGGCAGCAGCCTCCTGCAGCACTCAGGGCATGCTGTCAGAGCCAGCCAAGAGACGTCCTGTGCCTGCACCTGCAGCCAGACCAGCCCCCGTGCCCTCCGGACAGCTGATTCCATTTTGCTACCTGGAGAAACCCCAAGGCCAGGTGAGAGCATCGCACCTGGCCACCCATCTGCCACAAGGGCCCAGAGACCCTCCGTGTCCCTCCCGAAGCTGAGCAGGGCCTCAGCCCCTCTGTGCCCTCCCATCAGCAGAGAGCTGCCCCCAGGGCAGCGGCTGCCAGCCTGGGGATGCTCTCAGGGAGGCCGTGGTCCATGTGGGATTCATTTCTGCACGTGTGTTTGGACAAGTACTGCAGAATCACTGACATCTCTTAGGCTCGTGCTTGTTGAGTTTTAGAATTTAGACCGATATTTCAGACCTCAAGATGAAAATCCCAGAAAGAGCAGCCCAGCTTCTGACAAAAAGCTTCCAACAGCAGAGAGGAGCTGAATATTGCTGACAGCCCCCTCTATTCCAAGAAAGCAAGTACATCCTCGATCTCAAATCCTGGATCTTAAAAATAACAAATTTCCCAGCTTGTACTAATTTCAGTCATTAGTGTATTTTCAATAAGCCCATTTCAGTGTCTGGTTTAAGCAGTGTTTCTTCTCCCCAACTTATTTCCGACTTAGAAGCCCTTAATGCAGTTCAAGTCTTCTGGGTTTTGTTTAGAGATATGCTTGAAATGGGATTTTCTCACCATTTCCCCTTTCTTCATGCCAAAAGAATCTGTTCCCAATGGAGCTCTTCTGAGCTGAGGTCATCCAAGCAGATTTTCAAACTTGTCAGATATTGTTCGTTACCAACAAACATCTTTATTTGTTCACAGTGCACTATAAACTGCTGTGAGGTGTCCCATAGCACTAGCAGAACTCAGCGCTTCGTAGCTGTAGAGAGGTTTTTGAACCCGGAGATCTGTGTGTGCCCCTGTCCTCCCAGAAGTGGCCTGGGGGCAGTCGTAGCGGGGCGAGACAGGGGCACGGCGGGGCCGCGGGTGCCCCCAGCAGCGGGGAGGGGGCTGAGCAGCACCGAGCATCAGGACCTGAGCAGGGCGGCAGTTTCGAGGAGCTGGGATGTTTAACACTTCCTTGCCTGCAAAATTCAGCTCTCTCAAACATTAAACACCAATGTAAGAGTTTTTCTATCCCTGGCCTGTGTCTAACAGCTCAGGCTGTTGTTTCCCACAGCAGAGCACACCGGGGAGCAGTCTCCCTCCCAGGGGGAGTTTCTCACCCGGTCAGATATCCCTGGTCAGTATTCAGACTGCAGAGCAAACCCACCATCCATAGCCCATGCCATTAGCAAACAGCACGGTGGTGGGAGAGCCTCTACCCCTCCCACCACAGTCCTGTTCCTCTGTCCCAGACGGCAACAGGGACAGCACCGCTTTCCTCCTTGAGAAGAGTTCAACCAAGATTTTAGGATTAATTACATAAGGAACCAGGTGCAAAGAGTACCAGGGTTTGGTACAAAAACCAAATTCCTCTTAATGAAACCATGCTTCCAGGAATACCAGCCTCAGCCTCTCCTTCCACCCTCCGCATTTTCAGGTCCTCCTTCGGCCATGAAGCTGTGAGTATTTCTGTACAGCACCAACAATTAGAACTGCACAAGGACGTGCCCACAGAATGGCACAGCAAGAAGTTACGATTCAGGTGGGGCTGCTGACTATGCGGCTTAAAGAGCATCTCAAATTATCCTATCTATTAGTCCTGGGGAAAAAATACAGTCCTCTTATGGATGAAAGTCTCCAGGCAGCCAGCTGATAGGATATGGCTATAGAAGGAAACAAAAAACAAAGTCACAGGAGTTTCTAAAATGCAAGAACTGGAGAGCTGGAGCATTTCTTTGGATCAGACATGGGCCTGGTGGTAAAGTCTCTGTCACACAAGAGACTTCAGGATGTCCATTGGTAAGGATGAACAGAGAGAAAACATCACCAGAGTACATGAGAGAGGTGACAACGCAGAGGTTACAGCTCTCGCTAAGGGCCAAACCAAGCCAGGCTCCTGTAAGAAATGCTAACCCAGACATTACATATAGGCAAGATGCAATTTTCCCTCTTTGGCAGCTGGTAGGAGATCAAGGCAGCAAACATCTGGCCCATTTCCAGGGAGTGTACCTTTCAAGCACCAACCCCTGCAAGAGCTTAACTGTTTGTTGTTTGTACTACAAAGCTTCATTTAACAACTTTTGTGAGAAGTTGTTGAAATTGATGGAATTACAGTAGCTCATTGAAGCCATGGCCCTTGCTTGATGGACAACTGATTGCTCATTTTTTAATCAACTCGTTATTTTGTCACTCAAGCTAGGGGTTTATCGTTAAACAATAACTTGTCATATAGGTTATTTAACCTTTTACTTTACCCTACTTGTTCTGTGGAACATATGAAAGCTTTACATCAGGATAAGAGCAGACAGCCTTCCCGTAAGGCTGGGAGCCTGTGCCAGCACAGGGATTTTCACGCTATTTTAAGCATTTACAAGTTGTCTCAAGCCTTAA